TTTCATAGATTTTCAATATATTTAACATATTCTACTGTTTACCTACTGTTTACCGTTTACCGTACAAAAATACATATTTTTACTGAACATTATAACATGCTATCTCTTAAAATTTAAATATGTATTCAAAAATTAGACATTTGCAGGAGTTTTTTAGTTATTAAAACCACCTAAAAGATCGCGTGCTGCCACATGTTTTTATAACAATAAGTATAGATTCAGAATCCTTCCTATAATTTTGCGCCAATTTGCGCCGGAAATAGTTATTTGAGAAGCAAATACCCCTAAAAATATCGATTATTTAAGAATAACTTTTGACGTAGGACTACGTCTTTGATTTCTATATGGGGGTACACTTTGTGAAAACCGAAAATGGAACATGTAACAAATTAAGAAAGATTTTGAACGTTAATAACTCAGCTGCCCCTGGTACAATTTTAATAATGTTATCACCAATCGATCAGAAATATGGCTACGCATCGATAAAAATGCTTCCGAATGTTGATTTTTAACAAGAAACTATTGAAAAACTGGTAAATGTTCAGCATTGTCCAAAAGCGTCGAATTAACTAACAAATCCACCAATTACCTACATGCATATGCTGCTGCCCCAGCACAGTCGTCAGAGAATAGTAAGTAGACGAAACAAGTCGAAGAGGCATTCGCTTCCGATCCTCGGGCGCATGCGAATAGGGAGGATGGAATTGCGTAATATTTTGCACACTCATCGCCATACTCAGAACCAAACGCTCCCAACGACCACACCACTGTGTTGTGGTGTTCTGTCGTCGAAATTAGTAGCAGCAGTAGCAGTGCTTTCGGCGTGTGGCGTTGAAAACTGTTCTCCAGTAACAACGAAAGGCTGCCTGCAAGCAGCGAACTGCAGAGCCCACATAAGCAACCATCAAAGGAGGAAGAATCTGCACCGCTATGCTATGGATCGGAATCAGTAGCTCTTCGTGAGTCGCTGCGGGTCGGTCATCTATGCCATGCGTGTCACCCTCGCTCCAAACGACATACAGCTCGACAGCCTCATCCGTGTTGAACACACAGCTCAGAATTCAGAATTACTCAACCATCACTACAAAATGGTCGTTTTCAGGGTCACCAAAAATTTGTTAAAGAGAATTATTTGGACATTGGTCAAGGTCATCAGTTCCCACAAACAGCTAGCTATCAAGGCTCAACCTGTCTATAGAAGGTGTGAAATTGTAGGCCTGAATATATTGGTGCAATTAGTTTTTCCTCAGCTTTCATTCCACACGATTCGTTTCTTTCGTTTAATCAATCACCCTTGCAGTGACGTCGAAAAGATTGTTACAATCGGCGCTTACATATGAAAATTTATGTGGATTTTAAATTTTTTTTGTATGTTACCAAAATTAATGAATGGCTTGCCACTAAATGTTGAGATAATTTATTGATTATTGAATTATCACACTGTATACCACGAAAAAGCAGCCTGTTTGTGAGTTTTTGCCTGTTTTCAAGTAAGGTGTTATCATAAAAAAACAAATAGCCAGCTGGTATTTCCCGGCGACTTTACAAATAAATAAAATCAAACAAAATCATCATGCAGAACTAGCTAGGATTTGTTTTACTTCATATTTCACAATATTGCTGTCGAGTGTTAAGACATCGTCTCCCGCAAAGTTTACATTTTCCCTCTACCAACACATACATCAGGGCTAGATAGATCTCCACAGGATCTATAGAATCCACGCAATTTCAAAAAACCCAAATGCACAGCATTACGAAAAGAGGTCAGGTTTCGACCAATAGCAGATAGATTTTAATTCTAAGCAAGCCAAACGATTGGAAATTTATCTACCAATCTGCTAAAATGAACACAGGCCCGAATGTATTGGTGAAATTAATCATCGTCCGCCCATTACCAGAACACGCTGGTAGGAAGTGTTAAAAATCCATATAGAATTTGAGAGAAGTGGGAATAATTCGCAAATTTGTGGGAAAATTAGCTCTCACGAGTTCAATTTCTCAAAGTCCCTCCTTTTTTTACATATTCTGCACAAACAATACTTTCCGCCCCGCCTCATTCATATAATTCGGAAGGAAATCCTGTGAGGGGTGAATTGAATACACTTTAATACCAAAATGCACAAAAGTTAAAAATTCATAAATAACAAAAATTTAAAAATACACCTTTTAATCGGGTAGATGAATTGAAAATACTCAAGTTGACAGTCCCTTGGATTCTCTTCTTCAACTTTCTCTTTGAAATAAATACTACAAATTTGATACGCTTACAAATAAAAAACGGAAAGAGTTAAGATAATTGATGATCAATTAAAAGAACTAAATGTTCACATTCGTTCCGTCCACTAGCGGTCCTACGTCAAGCTTCCGTTCGTGTCCCTAGGCACAGACCCTTCTACTTTTTTGTTTCAAGAGATAATTAGTTACAATGTTCATCAAAAGCATGTGTTTAAACATGCAAAATATAGTTGTAGAATAAACCAAAATTGTAGGATGCCTAGAAAATCAGTTGTACTAAAAAACATGATTTAAAGGGGGCCTTTCACGAAGAATGATACATATCTCGCAATTTATAAGAGCTAGAAATTTTGGGTATTCAGCAAAGTTGCTAAAAATAACATTTGCTAAAACTTTATTCAAGACGTTATATCTCTATCAGAATCAGATAAAAAATTATTTTTTTGATCTCACTTTTAGGTAGATTAATCACCACCAAACCGTCTACATCAAAAGAAGCGGATTAACATATGCAAAAACATCTTTAAACAAACTATATCCCTAGAATCAATGTTTGAGAAGTTATTAAAAAAGCACACGAAAACGGCAAAAAGCAACACTGTGCACTGAGGCAAAAGAACGTAAGAATCCCTAAAGGAATCGGTGTGAATTTCAAAGATTTGCCTTATGAAAAATAATGTCGACAAAAAATAATAAACTGGAGCAGACTGGAACCGAACCATGGACGTTGAGATTACGGGTCCTGTTACTGGACCACTCGTCTGTCAACGCTTGGAAATGGAACTTCTGTAAAGACTCAGCTTTATAAATCTGAATTAATGAACACCTTCCTCCGCCCGCAAATTTTAATGGGCGGTGAAGAGATCTATAGGTATTTGGTCAATCCCGTTAAAAAAATCATGTGAATTGAATCCCGCGGAGAGTTGCAATGACATTTTGAGTAGAATTTCCGTAGAATACTTGGGAGAGTTTCAAGGTTATTTCAATGTTATACCGCTGATAATGTTAGTATGATTCATGGGAGGTTTCCAAGAAAATTTTGAAGAGCGTTATCATTGATTTTTTTGAGTCCACCCCAATAGAGTACCTAGTGAATGCTGATAAGAGTTCCAAGGAAATGTTCTGGATGTTTGTGCGGTGAATTTCTGGGCAGAAAAGCGATCGATAAAGAGAATTGTAGTGTTGGCAGCCAACATCGAGATCACACTGGATCCCTTGAATGTAATCTCTTAATTATGTGTGAATTCATCTCATAATTTTATTTATGCTTACTTCTAAACATATGTAAAAGTGGGGCAGTTTGGTCACCATAAGAAAATCATCACTACCAAATTCAGTGGAAAATTCGAATCCTATTCAAGTCCTATTTACATCATGAATACAAATTGAATATTAAAAGTAAACTTTTAAATAGTATGAAAGCTCCTACCCGAAAAAAATAATTATAATAAAACAACGTGTAATTTCGTATAATTTCGAGTACATTAAAATTTATTGTTGAATTGTTGTACGGGAGAAAACCTAAAATTCGTTTTTTACCGATACAATGCTCAAACAATGAAAATGAATGTGATGAGATCAAATTTGTTCTAGAAAAATCAGTTTGGGCTGTCAATCATGCTCATTTTAAAAATCCGTTGAACCTTCGCTGAGATACTACAATTTGAATTTGGGGTCAAATTGTCCCCAAGGTACAAACAACGTTAGTTTTTGTTTGGCTCAGAAGAAGATTAGCTATGATTCGCTGTGGCATTCTTATTCTCGGAACCACATCGAAACATTAAGTGCACAAATATAAGCTTCTACGACATGTGCAATATTCAAATTGTTACTCCACGTTTGCTGCACTGCAGCATACATAAAGTACCAATTTTAAATGAAATTGGGCACTGATTTCCGAGATTTGTGTAATTGAAAATTTTTTAGTGGAAGTGCCTATTTGTTGACTCTACAAAGAATCACCTAAAACTGAACGGATATTTTTGAAATGTTGACCAAAATTTGCTCATAAGTTCTAGTTTCAGCTGGCAAAGTTTGGTTGAAATGGTGCAATCGTTTATGAGAACATTGAATAAAATGAAAACATTTTTTTTACAAAAAATGTTCTAGATAGGCTAAGTTGATCTAGATAAAACAAAAATCCATATTTTTTTTCATATTGCCTTGATAAAAATTGTGCGGTAGAGGGTTAAAGTGCAATCGGTTGGCATCGCTTGCTTCGATTTTTTTTTTCACCCCTGCTACCAACTTGTGTCTTTGTTTACGTTCCCTTTCTTGCAGCAGCAGATTAAAAAATAATACTCTCAACACCCAACACAACACGGAATTCGATCGCCCGTGTACCATCTCTACTCCCGTGGGTGTATGTGTTTGTGTGCGCAATGCATACGTGCCACTTTTATGCCGTACTGTGCGCCGTTTCACTCACACATTCATAGTGCAAAACGATCAGCGAGTGTGAGAACTACTTTGCAGTGTTCGTCAGGTTGAGAGAGATGGGAAAATAGCAACACTGGCTACAACAAACTGACTGGGTGTTTGTAGTAAATATGGCGAGGGCAGTGTCGCGTGCCGTCGGTGTATTGGTGTGGCTGTTAAATCCACCGTGCGGTATTAATAGTAGTAATAAATAGCAACCAGGCAGCGTATAGTAGTTGTACCAACGGTAGCTATACGGCAGTAAAGCGATTGATTCGCGTGAAATAAAAAAAAATCAGTCATCTTCGAGCGCTTTCGAGTTGTGTATCGTTTTCGCGTTTTTCGCTATTTGACGGTGTGTTGAATCAGAAGAAAATTCCTCGGTTCAGAGTCGGTTCCCTATCAGCTTACTTACTTGCTATAATAGAGAGTGGCAGTTTTGTGTGCATTATAGGTAATAAATTTGGTTCCGTTTGAAGGAGTTTGCAACTTGGTACGTGACCTTCTTTTTCACCCTTTGCTCGCGGAGGAAGGAGTGCAGATCAATGATTTAAGAATGGCATTATTACCAATTTGAATGTTGTGTGTAAAATTGATGAGAAAAGGTGTGATTCCCAGGGAAAATTTCCACACGAATTCTATTCGAAGCTAGAGAGATGTCTGTTGAAAGCTCTAATTGGCCCCGTCGAAACGGGCAAAGGGCTAGAGAGTGGGAGAGATCCTACTCCTCCGCTGCCAATTATAGTAATCATCGCTTGAGAGCAAATCCATTGCATTTTCCCATTCAAACAAAGATACATATTGTGGAAGGTTTCGAGTTGAACGTCGTTTTTTTTTTCTTCAAACGCCAAGAGATTACGACGACACTGAAAACCACGGCAAACCAGTCCCAGAGTGTTACGACGACGACGGTGAAGAGATTTTCTATTTTCCTACCACCAATCAACAACAACTGCAACAACAAGCAGCAAAACAAGCCAAAACGGAAGAAACGAAACGAAAAAAAAGAGAAACGGCCACCACCGATCAAGAAGCAGCAGCTCAAAATTATTTCTCGTGGCCGAGCGCAGCAGCTGATGGCAATGATGGCATAACACCACCGACGACCCGTGTGTCCGTGTGCACATCGCAGTTAGATGTACATGTGGCTGTGTGTGCGGTGCGGTGGCGACTGTGGGTTCGATCCTATCTCGAGCAGAGTGCGATACTTTTTGTTCGTAAAACAAGTGGCGACGACGGCGGAGTAGAAATTCCTATGTAAATTGGATTTTGTGTTTTGTGCAATTCGGTTCGATTTGTGCTGTGCAGAAATTTGGAAATCCTAATAATATTTGGCCGTGGTTTCCCATTGCACAACTATTGCAGTGGCTCAGGAATTGGTTGGTGACAAATACGGCGCATGCATGGTGATATTGGGCTGTGAGTGATGAGTCAAGAATATAGAACCTAGTGGAGCGTGCTGTTGCTATCGTCGATAGTGGCAATGAATCACCCGGAATTGGTTTGGTAAATCAGCATAAAGTGTGTCAGTCGGTGGAGTACTTGCAAGAACAGGAAATTACATGGAAGTTATTTGAAATTAACTAATTATTGTTGTAGTGGAAAATCCTACCCTTTCAACCGTGACCATTTCCGCATTATTGTCAAATTTACTCTTGATTTGAAAACCCTAATAATCGAGTCCTTGGCAGAAGGCTTTCAATCGAATCGGAAAGTTAAGCGGAAATCTTCAATCTATATTGAAGCGTAAGGTAATCTCAAGGACCCAATGAATAGGTATTTTTCTATAGTATTATTTTGTGTTTACTATAATATTATTATGTTATTAATATATTACTATGCATATTTCCGAATTTTTATGATTAGTAATTGCTGTATTGTACAGTACAGTCATACTTCGAAATAACGTAGCTTATTTTTTGATTTCATTGCGTTATATCGAAACAATACAAACAATTTAATTAAAAACTGAAAATGTGTTCTGGGCTACCTTGGGGAGTCACGAAAAGAGCTGTCATGCGAGAATGAGAAAACAACTGCTGTCACCAGGGTTACTTCTATTCACTTCGCTATAAAAAATGTTTTTCGAAATTTTGGAATCAATAATGATATTTTGTATTTGTCAGATCAGGCATCAACATTATCCCTATCAATTATCATTTTCACACCTACAGGGTGGCAAGTGAACCAGGAAAACCGGGAAAAAGTCGGGAATTTATTTTCACCAGAAAAAACCAGGAATTTCATAAGTCCACCAGGAAAATAATCTTGTTTGTATAATTTAAATAGGTTTTAAACTTTATGTATGTCATAGTTTCTTTTTATAAACAGGTCAAAACTAACTATTTTGTTCAAGCTAAATCTTTCACATAACTAAACATTTATGAACAAAATTTACCCTGAGAATTTAGTAAATATATTTTGTATTTATTTTGAATTTAATCTTTTTCTCGAATCAATATGCAATGCAGATTTGTGCTTAATGGATAGCAGACTTAACCAGTGCCGACGCGTAGCCACTTTGAAGTACCTGTACATGTTCAATAAAAAAGTTCTGTTTCTAAAAACTTCAGATAAGGCCTTCGAACTTCATGCAAGTTCTACAAAATATTCGGGAAAGTCTTACAAGTTTCAGGAAAATCCTGTGAACTACTGTGATGACCTAAGACGGTCAGGAAATCTCTCCGAACCTTCAGAGGAGTCTTACGAACTTCAGGGAAGTCCTTTAATCTTTGGGGAATATCTACGAATTTTACAGAATTTTCTATAGATTTAATGTAACTTCTACGATATTTAGGCATTGCTTAAAGCTTAAGGATAATCCTATGACACTTACGGATTTTTTCCGAGCTTCAGAGAAGTCTTCAATACTCTTGGGAAGTCCTCTGAACTTAACATAGTTCTCCAAGCTCAAAAAAGTTCCTAGAACTTCCGAGAAGTCGATTGAACTACAGGTAGTCCTACGAAATTCATGGGAGCTCTCCAAACTTCAGGGAATTTCCAAGAAATTAAGGAAAGACCCACAAACTTTTGGAAAACCCTTCGATATTTAAAGCCTTATGAACTTCAGGGAAGCTCTTCTAAATTTAGGGTCCTCATATATTCAGTTAAGTCCTTCAAACTTCAGGGAAGTCCCCAGATCTTCGAGAAAGTTCTTCGAACTTGAAGGAAGTCTTACGAACTTCGTGGTACTTCTACGATATTTAAGAAATTCCTATGAATTTCAAAAAAACTCCGAACTTAAGGGAAGTCCTAAGATCTTAAAAAAAAAGTCCTTCGAACTTCGGGGAAGTCCCATGAAATTCAGGAAATACAAACTTCAATGAACCCTTCAGGAAAGACCTTAACGCTTGAGGGAAGTTCTACGAACTTTAAGGAGTTTCTATGAACTTCAGCCGTTAGTAATTTTAATAATAAGAGTTATTAAACCAGCGTTGCTTATAAAATTTTTAATCATATGATTTTGAAATCATGTTGTAATCAAAATTCCGGTAAATAAGATCCTTAATCGTTGACAATTTGCGGAAAATTTAAACAAACTGGAATTCCGTAAAATTGTTAGAAGCAAAGGTTTGTTTAAAGAGTCTTCATTCATATCACTCTTCGCAATTTTACCTTGAGATTAACTAGCCCGTTGGCTAAAAATCTCAATAATAAAGTAAAAAAATTGCAAATTCAAAAACAAAAATCTCAAGATTTAGGGGCTTATAGATCTCTAAATTTCAAACATCTGATAGGGCTCTGCGCTAGTCCGTCATATCTCAGCTTTTCTTCGTCATGAGCGGTTCCATATCATTAAAGCAACGAGTAATTTTCATCTTTTTTGATTTGCATGAAACCTTGCATACAAGTTTTTGGGGAAGAAAAACGCCGTTTTGCATACTTGGTTCGCCATTTTGAATCTAGCCTTACTTATGAGAAGGGCCTATGAAAAATGCACATGATATCTTCAAAAAATTGTATCTCGGAAACGGTTTGTCCGATTGGTTTGGTGTCTTGGGCGAAGTTTTAGACAATTGTTGGTGTTATATGTAAAAAAATATGCACGGTAAAAAAAAAGTTAGGTATTTGTGTTTTGAACTAAAATATAAATTTTCCCTTTAAAGTGACATGTCAATAATTTTTTTATTATCCTTATGTTATAGCTGACTAAAAATGCTATCTAGTACACAGTAGGTTGTTTTGGAGAAAAATAGGTTACGATGAAAAAAATTGTTTTTAAAAAAAATACAATTTTCAAAAAAGCTATTAAGAAAAGTCAAAAAAGTTTGTCACCCTAATTTTACGAAAGTACATCAAATTTGCAAACAAAAAGTACTTCGGTAACATTTTTCTAAGATGCACCGTTTAGAAGATATTACTGATTTAATATTGTTTTTTTTTTTGATAACTTAATAAGTTTTGGCCCTTTTCGGATGTACTCCGTGTTTTTCCAGTTTCAAAAGTATTTTTTTCGGAAAGATTGGAAAATTTTGAGTTAAAATGACACTGACAGTTTAAAGATTCGAGTGAAATTCTCTGCCTTAAAAGTATTTTGAAAAACAAGTTACAAAATCCCACTATCAGGAACAATGATTTCTTCAAGTGATTTTTGGTGCGTTGTGCTGAAAATGTGCATTCAACTCTTGCATATCGCCTAACAGTTTAATCCATTTAAACTGGATGTGTTTATACTGTGCATATTTTCTCTCTATTGCCGAACATCGCCACAGACATCAAACCGATGAGACAACTCGATTTCGAGATACACCTTTTTGAGAAATGCAAATGTAAGCTCCTCAATTAGCAAGATTCAAAAGAGCGAATTAAGCTTATTTTTCAGGGATGGTGATTGTGCGCAATAAAAAATAACATTATATGGTGGATATCATCAGTTTATTTTTATTCCTGTATTTTTATAAAATTATTGTTTACACAACTTTCTTAACAATATTGAATATTTTGGCATCATTGTCAGGAGTCCTGACTCAGGACAGTTTGAATAAAGCTTTGCCTTTATTGTATTTTCTGATAGAGGAAGAAATGAGTGGAATTTTAGAGTTCCTTGAATTGTTTTTGCATTATTATATTGATTATTTAGCTGCAAAGACATATTTTCGTATTCTTCTGTAGTAGAATAACAAAATGACAACTTTGTAAGTTCTTCTTCTTTTCGTTTGTTTGCCCAATTAAACAACTCTCTTGCAGTCTTTATCGGGTGTTCGCGTTCTTTGGCTAAACTTGCTCTGGTAGCCATGCGTTTTATCGTACCTCCAATAGCATCGCATGGACCTTTTCCGTGCGATGTTGCGAAGAAATGCCATTCAGCGTCAATACCATACTTTGACTTAAATTTACAAAGGCTAGAAAAGTTTTTTCGGTTTTTATACTGTGAAGCAGCACCATCTGACATAAAATCATTTTTTTTTATGTTTTTATTTTGATCAATTTGTAAAAAGTTTATCATTTTACCAA